ACAAATATAAAATATATTTATATATGTATATATATGGGTTTTTTTGAGACAGTCTTGCTGTGTAGCCCAGGCTGGCCTTGAACTTGTGGCCATCCTCTTACCTCAGCCCCCCGCAGCCTGCCACCACACCCAGCTTACACCTGGGATATTTATAATACTGACAAGTACTAGGCCAGAGGGTGTGGCTCAGTGGACATCAAAGAATCAGTCTCAGGCTATATGATTGAAATGGAATTGCATGAGAAATCAATACAGAAGTATAAACAAACTCAGACATTTTGAAATTTATAAAGCATACTTATATATGCTTACAGAGAAGAAAATCAGGATGAAAATTGTTAAATACTTAGAACTGGAAAACACCGAAGCAGCATTAGAGGGAAAATGTACAAACTCACTACAGATTAGTGAGCTAACTTCCAACTCAAGAAGCTAGCAAGAGGAGTAAATTTAAATAAGTAAAAATAGCAAATTAAAAACAATAGAGAGAAGAAACAGGCAAACACGAACTGTTTCTTTTAAAAGATCTAAGAAAGCTGGACATGGTGAAAAGCAAGAGGACCAAAGACCAGGAGCTGGAAGCTGCAGGCCGAAGCCCAGACAGATAGACACCCTTGCTCTTCGCCGTGGTCCCTGAGGCATTTGCTCCAGTGCTGGGAAGCTGACTGACACCCTAGGAAGGACCAGCTTGGGGAGGCAAGCGTCCCCCAGAAGGTGAGTGTCAGTATGTTTCTGCAATAAAGATAATCATTTTCCTTTCTTTAAAGGAAAAGCTTTTCAAGGGCCAGGGATTTAGCTCAGTGGTTCCACTGCCTGCCTTGCAAGCCCAAGGCTACTGAGCCACATCGTCAACCCATGTCTGTGTGTTTTCTTAAACAACATAAGTAAGGCATCATTATCCTTAAGGATGTCTTATCACTATACTCATAGTTTGAGGTAGAACTACTTGCTCTTTCCTCGTAAGGCTCACAGATATATAAGGAAATGTTAAAACGATAAAGAGAACCCAGGTGTGGTGGTACACCCCTGTAATCCTGACATCCTGGGAAGCTGAGGCAGGAGAATCTAACTTTCAAGCCCAGCAATTGGCAATTTGGCAACTTAGTGAGATATCCTGTCTCAAAATAAAAAAGAAAAAGAATTGGTGATGTAGCTTTGTGCAAAGGTTCTGGCTTCGTTTCTCAGTACCAAACAAAACAAAATTAAACAAAGCGGTGGGGGGATTAAGAGGAAAAATGGAGGAGCAAAGTGAGTCACAGCAGTATGCACCTACAATCTCAGCTACTGGAGAGGCTGAGGCAGGAGGATCACAAGTCTGAGCCCAGTCCGACAACTCAGCAAGATCCTGTCTCAAAATAAAACACAAAAGGGGCTGGGGCTGTAGCTCAGTGGTATCACGACCCAGATTCAATCCCCAGTACCAGGGTGGGGTAGGGCAGAGAGACCCAGAGACACACAGACAGGTGGAGGATTGCTAGGAAAGTGGTTAAGGCCAAAGTTCGGGGGCCTGAGCTCTATCCAAGCTGGGGCCTTCTCTGTCACAGGTTCGGCAGCCTGGTGCGCACGGCAGGTGCGGCCCATAGGAGCCGAGGTCCGCCAAGCGCAGTGCCTGTCACAAGCCTTCCTGGATGGCTGTGTGTTGGCCTCACACATGCCCTCCTCCTGGCCTTCCCACTCCGGTCCCTTCAAATTGCTCTCTCCTCCCCATCTGCTCGCTGCTGGGACACAGGCCACAGGAGACTTGAGTAATCTAAACCCCTCAGAGCTGTCAAAACTTATTACCTGGACTTTCTGTGTTGCCATCCACCAGCAGGCGCCTCTCTGGAGAGGACATCTGTGAACTCCACAGTCTGAGTCCAGGGGACAGACGGGGAGCGGCTTCCAGCCCCAGTAACCGCTCACTCCTCAGGCCACCAAGGTGCTTCCAAAAACATGCCTGCAAATTCCTGTGCGATTCTTCCTTCCTCTCGTCTGTGATTCACCCCCTTGAATTGCTGAAATGATGCTTCAGACTTCCAGGTCTGGTTCCCTCCCCTTTTCTCTCCCTCTGTCCCGCCTTCTGCTTTCTCCCTCTCCTGACCATATGGAGAAACTACTTAGGGGCCGAGATTCCCCATGAGCCTCCAGCCACTCATCAGGCAGACAAGGTGGGGGAACCTTTGCCCCACTCTGTCCCAGCCTCGGGCTGCCCCACCCAGCCCAGGAGTAGAAATGTGCACGTCTCCACTGCCCTGCCCAGGCAGCCCTGCCCAGGCAGCGGCAGGAATAAAGCAAGTCAAGGTTACTGAGGATTTTGTTTTCTTGTTTTGTGGTACTGAGGACTGAACCTTGGTGTGCTACCCCAGAGCTACATCCGCAGCACTTTTTATTTTTTATTTTAAGACAGGCACTCACTATGCAGTGCAGGCTGGGCTTGAACTTATGATCTTTCTGTGCACCACTGTGTCCAACTAAGCCGCTAAGCTTGCGGGGGCAGGGGTGTTAAACCACCATAATAATGCACAGATCCTTGGGCTAGGGATTTAGCTCAGTGGTTCCGCTGCCTGCCTCGCAAGTGCAAGGTCCTGAGTTCAATCTCCGGTACCAAAAAACAGAACAAAACAAAACAAAAAAGCACAGATCCTGTACAGGCAGGCTGGGCAGCTACATGGACCTTGCTCCCCAGACATATCCCCCTGTGCTTAATTGAAAGTTCCATTCACTGTCGAGAAGCCTCGTCCCTATTCTACCAGGCCCCTCAGGTTCCGTACCTGGTCTGAACCCTACCAACATGAGTTCCACAGTCTCTCTGCCATTGGTCCTGTGTCCCTCATGTATGCAACTATCAGTCTGTGCAGCAGTCAGAGAACAGAGAGCTAGAACCAGTCAGAGCCACCCTCAGCCCCCAGCTCCACCTGACTGTCCTGTGTCCTTGGGTAAGGTACTTATCCCCACTAAGCTAGTAATCTTGACTGCTTGCTGGAGATAGCACTGTTTACCTCACATAAAGCGAACATTAAGTGGATAGTAAAGTAATTCTTATAGACACTAAATATAGCTGCCTTTACTGTTCTTCTGGCTTCTTGTATCTTCTTCAAACCCACATCAGATAAGTATTCCTTTGCTAGAACTCCATTGCTCCAGAACCTTCAGGGGCTCCCTATTTCTATTACAGTCCAGAGTCCTCACCCAAGCAAGCATTCAAGGTCTTCCATAATCAAGCACTAAATTATTTTGACTCATCTTCCAGTGCTCCATTACTCTAAGGCTCAGCTCCAAACCAAGGGGTAGCAGAGTCCCCTAAAATACTCCTCACTTTCACTTTTCAGTGTTTTTACCCAGCCGGTTCCATCCTCAACTTGGAATAACCTGGACCCTGCTGACCACCCTTGCATTCGGTTGTAGTACATCTTAAAACTTCAAATAACTGTATGTGGATTTAGAATGTAATATTCTCTTAAGTACTGAGTCCAGCTGTGACATTCTTAGTGCAAGTAACCCAAAGACGGGCAGGCCAGCACCGCAGGTAATGTGTAAGGGGGCTGGTGTAACGTGATTGACCAGTACTTGCATATTTTCAAGCCTTTACAAAAGCTTTTGTAAACGACAGAAACAAAGCAATCATGAACCACTGCTTGTCAAACAAAAATGTCTCTAAGCATTTCCTACAGTTGCAATGTACTTGAACACATTCCCCTAAGAAACACACGAAAGCCACTCTGACTGTCAGCAATTATGATGGAATCCAGTAAGATTATTCACACACACACACACACACACACACACACACACGGACTGGACTTCAGATTTGTTCCAGTCTTTGCACCAGCACATGAAAGCAGTGCTCAGGCTTGGGGTTAGACTTCTGATCAAATCCTGCTATGTGATCTAGGGAGGCGTCTTAACGCCCCCTGAACCCTGGGATCTTCATTTTAAACAACGAGGACAGCAATGCGTCCTTCATAGGGACCCGGAGAGGGTGCAGCGAGATGTGCAGGCTGTGCGGCTGGCAGCAAGCAGAGGCTCCCTGCGCATCTCAGGGGCTGTGGCCAGGCCTTTCTGGGTTACCTGTGTGATGTCCCTCCCACCCAGCATCTCTGTCAAATGGTCCTTCAGCCTCTGCCTCAGTCTTTCGGGGCCAGGAGCCTGGCACCTGCGGGGAGCCGGTTCCTTTTGAGACCGAGACCTGGGAAGTTGTGGGACCTGAGCCCTCTGCCTCGATTCATCTCTGTGTACCGGGGCCTCGGCGGGGATTTTAGCTGGGCCCTGCCCAGCCCGGTGCCTCCGTCCCCGCCCGCGGCTCAGGTCCTGCCGCCCCCACCCTCCGTCTCCATCCCTCCGCCCGAGG